TGATAAGCACAAAAAAAAAATATTAACTAAGAGATAAGAAGGAATAAAAAGTACAACTAAGAGATAAGAAGGAATAAAAAGTACAGCTAAGAGATAAAAATGAATAAAAAGTACAGCTAAGAGATAAGAAGGAATAAAAATTATAATAAAATATTCAGGGGGGTTAAACGACTTTTGTGAACAGTAAAATAATGAAAATTACCCTTGCAAGGTAATGAACAGTATTTTACCGTCGTTTCGTTTCACGATCAACCTGACCGATTATGTAGATTGTTGTTTCCACACTTTAACGGCCTTGGGATCAGTTTTCGGCGAAACGAAAAAAAACAGAGGCCAGGAAGGCAACGTTTCGCTCTAAAACCTAAACCCTAAACCCTAAACCCTAAAAAAACCCTAAAAAAACCTTAAAAAAAAAACCCTAAACCCTAAACCCTAAAAAAACCCTAAACCCTAAAACCTTAAAAAACCCTAAAAAAACCCGAAACCCTAAAAAAAAAACCCTAAAAAAACCTTAAAAAAAAAAACCTAAACCCTAAAAAAAAACCCTAAACCCTAAAAAAAAAAACCCTAAAAGAACCCTAAAAAAAAACCCTAAACCCTAAACCCTAAACCTAAACCCTAAACCTTAAACCCTAAACCCTAAACCCTAAAAACCCTAAACCTAAACCCTAAACCCTAAACCCTAAACCCTAAACCCTAAAAACCCTAAACCCTAAACCCTAAACCCTAAACCCTAAACCCTAAAGCCTAAAGTCAATTTTATTCATCAAAAGCAATTTCGTAGTTTTAAGTTTGTTGCTAATAAGTTAAATGCTAATATTTTTTAGGATCTTCATGTGCCTTGTTTTAAATTTGTAATTTTGTGGAAACCTTGCATTCATTACATTAAAGTGAACACTAATGGTGGCATTTTGAGAAATGACAAAGGTAATTTAATTATGACATTTGCTTCTCCTCTCAATAAATGCTCTATTTTATTTTCGAAACTTATGACAATTCATAAAGCTCTTCAAATTTGTTTATCATCTGGTTATTTTAAAATTTGGATAGAAGTTGATGCTTTGTTAGTTTTCAATTTTATTTCTGCTGATAACATTGGCAATTTTGATACTTATTATATTTTAAAAGATATCAAAAGAATATTATCTCAAATTGATTATAACATATCTCATATTTGGAGAGAATGAAATTCCTCTGCTGATTTTTTAGCCAAAAGTCGAGATAATTTGCATCATTTTACTTTATATTATAATGCTGATATTCCGTTTTTATTAAGAGGTTCAATTAATCTTGATAAATCAGGATTACGTTATATTCGTTCTTAATTTTGCTGCTTGGTTGGGTTTTTTTTTTTTTTTTTTAGCTATGATGTTTAGATTATTTAATCTTTTATGGAAGATTATTTTGTCATTTCTCTTTGTAAATTTGGTTGGTGAGGGTTTTGGTGGTTGGATGGTGTGTTGTGCTGGGTTGCTATGGCTTGGTGCCATTCTTTTTAGTTGGTGTTTCTTATGGTTTTTGGGTTGTTTGCCCGTTGGGTTGTGAGGCTAGAAGGGTTTGGTTTTGTTTCTGAGGTTGTTTGGGTGCTAGAGCTGATGGTGGTTGTTATTTTGCTCGGATTTGTTGTTATCTTGGCCAATTTTCTTTGAGATTTTTGGTATTTTATTTCTTCCATAAAATATTTTTAATCCTGAGCCATTATTATTATTATTATTATTATTATTCTCTATGTGTTATGATTATTATATTATGCTTGTCATATATTTTTATGCTTAATTATTTTTTCAATTTTGCTGTGAGTATTTTTTCCAAATTTTGCAGAAGTTGGTAGAATCTTATTTGTTGGAGAAAGTATCCATTATTTCCAAGTGTTTGGGCTTATGAAGATTGTTGGATCCATTTGGCTTTGGTTGTCTCATTCTATTTGTTTTGCTTTCATTATCTTTGTAATTAGTTAGAGACTTTAGGCTCATTAGTTTTTTTTTATTTTCTTTTCTTTTTATTGTAGTTTGTTTGTTTCTTTTTTTAGTTGAGCCTTTAGTCTCTTTAAGGTCTCTTTGTAATCGCTTTTTTAAATAAATGCGTAAGCTCCTATAATGGGTTTTAACCCAAAAAAAAATCCTAAACACTAAACTCTAAACCATAACCCTAAACCCTAAACCCTATACCATAAACCCTAAATCCTAAACCCTATACCATAAACCCTAAATCCTAAACCCTAAACCATAAACCTCTTGAAGCCTCAAAAGAAATAAAGAAAAAAGCACAAGCTTATGCACACAGTGGATATTATAAAAGCTTATAAACATTGTGTACAAGTTTGTTGTACACACTATGTACAATAATCTTGTACACATTATGTATACATATCTCATACAAACTATGTGCAAGCCTTATAAACAGTGTGTACAATATTATTGTATAGTATAAAAAATCTTATACATAATGTATACAAGATTGTATGCAATGTGTACAAGCTTTTACAATATACACAATGTGTACAAGGTTGTACATACTGTGTATACAATGTGTAAGTGTTGTACTCAGTGTGTACAATGTTGTACACAATATGTATAAGGAAATTAATAAACATGTTTTATAAGAAGTAGAAGATTTTTCAAAAAATTCACAAAAAATACAAACAGTGTACAAGTGTAGAATGAATTGAAAAATGAAAAGACACCATCCAAATCATCAAGCACTGAGCAAAAATATCATCTGCACTTTCTATATTTATAAATGAACTTTGAAAACATTCAAAAATGAAAAAAAAAAAAAAAAAAGACAAGAACAAATATTATTACGCATGTTTATTCTATTTGAGGCATTCATCATAAACAAAATTAAATATTATTATTGACTTTTCAGCCTCCAAATCTTGTGAGCATGTCATCTCATGAGAGAATTGAACGTCATCCAAAACAGTCTCCATCTTCTTCTCTAGTTCCTCCAAAATTTTGGGATGATTTGCCGAAAAAATATATTAGCTAAAAATTCTAAACTTTGAAAACAAATTACAATTTTTTTTTTAAAGAGCACCAACTAAAAGCCGGATCCGACCTTGCCTGAGAAAAAAATTCAGGTAGTTGCAAGAAAATGATCCAAAAAATACGCATTGCCCTTGAATTAGAGTCCCTACTCAGGCACCCTGTTGGAAGATAAAATGTAGGACCATGATATCCTCGGGTGAGGTCCTGATTTTTCCAAAAACATGAAATTACGAAAAATCCTTTTTTTTTTTTGTTTGTTGAAACCGATACTGAGGAATACGGGAGAGTATGGAGCTATTCTTCCTGCTTTCTCCTGCTCCAGCATTTCTCTTGTCCTCCTCAACCTCCACTAAAAGTCGTACGAAGAGCCCTTCTTTCTTCACAGGTAGTAGTACATACAGAAGAAATAGGATGGATGTGTTCTGCATGCTTTCGCCTTATTCAGTGGCTCACTTGCCTTCATCTTCGGCATTGAAAAGCACCCGCATGGAGAGTCCCATCTTCGACTCCGGTGGCCACTCCGTCAGAGTTCCAGAGTCTAAGATTTTTCCATTTTATTCCAGAAATGCGTCTTCCTTCGACTCAAGCCTGCCAGTTTTCAGTATGCCCAACAACTAAAAGGCTTTTCATTATTTCCTTTTTAATTTTTTCTCAAATTACAAAATGACTGTCTGTTATATAGATGATGTGTAAGTCATCACACAGAAGAAAGAAATAAGCTTAAAAAGAAAGTATTGTGAACTATTTTAAATCCATTACGATCGCCATGATTGCTTCTTCTAATAGTGAGATAGTCCATTGCCTTTTCTTTTTTTGTGCGTGTAGAAATATTTGTAGGATGATTCTCCAAAGAAATCAGAAGATATAATACTCTTATGCTTCATCTTAAAAACTCAAATGAAACCAGAGAAGATATAATACCCAGTCTATATTCTACTTTTTATTGGCATCTTGCCAAAAAACAGTCATTTGTTCAAATGTAGTATAAAATTTTAAATTAGCCTTTCTAGCATTTAATTTTTAAAGGTTAATGACGGAAGCTATTTTTAAAATTTAAATGCATCAGTACTTTATCACCAATTTTAAACTTAATGTACCTATTATTCACATCATTTGAAAACTTATAACTGTCACATTTAATAGCTAATGTTTTATGAATGTCCTCAAACAAGTTAGGCCAATCATGCAAATCATATAAATGAAATAAAGTTTTGAAAATGATACGACTAAAATTAATTCCAAGAAATACTAATATTGACCTCTAAAAGATTTGTTAAAAATGAGGTGCTATGAAAATTAGAAGGAAACAGACAACATAACTATAATATGCCTATATAGATGGTGAGCATCCTTAAAAAAACTAATTCACATGGTTTAAGTATTTTTTATGATAATTTATACACCATTAAAATTGAGATGGTATATGGAATCTTAAATTTTATGTTTCTCTTAAAGCACTGGTCATTGATAATTTTTTTGAAATAGCAGCTCAACCTAAGTCTCTCCATAATATATTTTTATGCATTTGTTGGTCACTAAAGTAAGAATGCAAAATAAAATCAATATCAATTTGATCATTCATAGGATGGAAAATGTCATTGATAAGTCATCAAGAGTTATGCTATTAAATTATATGACCGAGTCATCAAAAACATTAGATATGAATGCTTTTTGTGATTTGTAGCTTGGTTCATTTATAAATTCTCACATAAAATCTTTAATGAAATAAGCAATGATAATAAGTAATCTAGAGGTATTTCAAATATTGCTACAAGATGTGTAAAACTTGCATGATATTCAAACACGCTATAATTATTTTATTTACGATAGTTAAATTGATTATACAACTAGTCCCAATGTATATCCAATGAAAGACATTATTTTGTTTCACCCATAATAATTCTCCAAAATAATTGAGCATGCCCCATTAATGTTGTATCAATAGCAAGTTTTTTGAAATAAAAATTAATAATATTTTAAAAATATCTTTCAAATTATTAAGTTGCAATAGCCAGACCACAATTAGTGAAACAATAGCATAAGCATGACCCACAAGTAGCAACATATAGATAAGACCAGCAAGTAGTTGCAATAACAATAGAGAAGCAGTCTTCACTACAGTACTTCATTGATAAAGCAACAAAGAGTCAGCTACAGTACCAAGTGGATAAGGGAGAAAGAGTGGTGACCATAATACCTACTCTAAAGTCCCAAATCATTTCGTTTCAATATGTAAAGTTTAAATGCCACAATAGTCGATTTACTCTTTCGAATATTTTTATTCAATCATTAGTTACCAAAAATAAGCTGGGCGCGGGGGCAATGAACATAAATGAGAAGCGACAAATGTGTAGTTTTGATGGTGTTTGCATTAACACCAAGTCACCCAACTGGTGGTTTCTGTGTGGAATAACATGTTTTCTTCTCTAGGATTTACTTTTTTTTTCTTTCATTAAACCTCTTATTATCTTCTATTCGATGAAGGAGGCGCCCCTGCTGCAACTTTAAAAAGCTTAAAGGTACAAGCAACCTCTAACCAAGAGGTTGATATTATAGACAAAGATACTGTGTTTGTTGCAGGAGCAACTGGTAGAGTAGGTTCACGTACTGTAAGGTTGTATCTGCCATTAAACTTTAGAATTTTCAAGTACATTAAAATTATTATTATTATTATTTGACATTTTAATGTTCTTTCCAGGGAACTTCTAAAGCTAGGCTTTCGGGTTCGAGCAGGTGTTAGGAGTAGTCAGAGAGCTGAAGCACTTGTTCAAGTTTGGACTTTTTTAGTTATCTTTACTTTTTATACATGCTAATGTAGGATTTTGATGTCTTCCAAAACAACATTTGCAGGGTGTTCAGCAAATGAAGCTTGATGGCAAGGATGGAAATCCTGATGTACAACGTAAGAGAAGTGGCATGCTAAAGCTCTCTCCTGTTAGGAAGTTTTGAATTGAGTTCGGATATACTAATTCTTTGCCCATTCTTTTGTTAAATTCTATGAGCAATGCCAACTGGAGTTGCACTTTGGTTTGTAGACCAGCTATAAGAAATCTTGAAATTGTCACGTGTGATTTGGAGAATCAAGCGAGCATAATACCAGCAATTGGCAATGCCTCAGTAATTATTTGTAGCATTGGAGCAAGCGAAAAGGAGGTTTTTGATGTAACCGGACCGTATCGCATTGATTATAAAGCAACCAAGAATCTAATTAAAGCAGGTAACCTAAACATAGCCTCTTATGTCTTCAATGCAAGCATGTGATGTGCTAACATGAATTATTCTCGACCTATTTTTGGTCATTTACTATTATTCACTTTTGAACGTCTCAATGCAAGCATGTGATATGCTAAAATGAATTATTCTCGACCTATTTTTGGTTATTTACTATTATTCACTTTTGAACGCTGATGGTGGATCTTTTTATACTTCAAAACTATCATAGAACTTTTACAATCATATTCACTTAAATCAGGTTAATCAAGTTATCATAAGAGTGTGAATTGGATTCAACAAATTATTAGTCATACCCCCACATGGAACTTATGAATTCTGAAGTCACCTAAAACTCAAGTCATCGAAAATCAAATTTGATCTAATCACCCAACAAACATCTTTTGTTAGGTCCTTAAAATCAAGCTATTGAACTCACCCAATTACTAATAAAATCGCTATCTAGGAAAAACTATTCGCCCAAAGAACTCAACTACTCGTTTAGAGTACCCTCCAGGCAACTAAGGATTTTCTCAAAAAGAACTCGTGAGAATACTTACCATCAATTCCAAATTCACCTGAAGTTCCCTGCTAATGGAAAAATATTAGCCGGGCATGCTTTCTATACAACTAGATACATTGTGTCAAATTTTGTATTCCTCTTGTAAATGTATCATGTTACACATTTTGTACCACCAGCCTTGATCCTCAATTATAAATTGGGAGTCAATAGTCTAGTGTGAGCTTGACGCAACCTTGTACTTTTGACCCAAAATCTCTTTGAAATTTTCTAACAAATTCTCAACTAAAAATTGTCCCTTGTCTCAAAATGGATCAACGAATTCTCTATGACTCAAATCTAAGAGAATCTTTAAACCCTTATCTATTTCTCTCTTTCTCTTGACTCTTTGGGGCTTGATCCGTATGTATAGTAAAGTTTTCACCAATTACATTACATCCATCATCTTCAAAGGTGCAATGAAATGAAAATATTAAACACTAAGAATGAGGTCATGAACATCTCGAGGATAAGAAGAGGTTCTTTGTTAGACCGGTCTAGTGGACCGGTCCAGCCGGTCCGTGCGGGACCGGCCCAGCACGAACTGGGCGAAGAAATCTCCGCCTGCTGGGATGTCGAGCGAGCCGCACACCGTGCGGGAGCTTTTTAGAAAGCTTTATTGAGGGTTTTGAGAGGGAAATTTGAATGTAGGGACTGCTTAGGGATTTCCTTTTGATTTGTATGCATTAAATAGTTTATTTTCCTAGGGTTTGGGCATCTTGAATTTGGCTGAAATTTGAGATCTCTTAGATTTAAGTTTTCTTTGGGCTTTAGCGGCATCTAGAGATTTGGGAGAGATCGATCCTCCTCTCGAATTGAGGATCAAGTGTATCTTGCTATTTTCCATGTTTCTTTCATCAAATCATACAAGTTATCTACTGTTTTTGTGATTTTTGTGCGGACTTTTGTGAAGATTTTCGCTGTTTTCTAAAGATTGACAGGAAATACTTGAAAACTACAAGTGTTTCCTATCATTCTTCTAAAGTGAGTGACCAATGACTAGTACTTCTAAATAGTTGAATAAAATCAAGAACCGTATGATAAGGATGATATAGGGAAATTTTTAGCGCTTTGTTTCTCCCATTGCAGTCTCCTAAAAAGCTTGCCAGTTCTCTCTATTATTTATCATGACAATCAAAATAATAGAGCTACCATTCTAATTCCTTTTAAAGATTTTCTATCTATAAAAGTGATGCGGCCCATTGAGGATCTTATAGTTTCTAATTTCAATCAATTAAATGAAAGAAACTGAACTTTTGAGTCTTTCTTTTGCTTATTTTTATCATGAAAGAAATATTTGTGATTGTGCTAAACTCTAAACATATAATTTCATCAAGTAAAAACTAATATGTTTAAATTTTACTCAGGGAACACATCTTAAGAATGTCAAAACTCAGTCATAATAAACTCATCATATTTAAAAAAAAAAAATAGTTAAGCACCGATGTTCAATGAACATGCCTCTAAATTGGTCAATTAAATTGGTGGCTCACTTTACAACATGAATTCATCTATCCGCAAATTCGCAAAGAATTCAAATCATTCTCATCTAAGTAGGAAATTCATCAACTTTGTCATTTCTAGAGAGAGCTTATTCACCCCATATAAATTGACAACATTACTTGATCAATTTGGCAACTCTCAAGTGCAGAGAATTCAACACAAAATTAGTTAGATAACACTCAGGGAACTATTAGTTAGTTTGATCATTAAGTCAGCACTAAATTCTCTACTTGAAGTCACTGAACTTTGAGCCAAGTAAATTGAGATGGTGGCGACTTAGATAAAAAACAAAGAAACAAGTTTTTTGAATGCATACTCAGCTTGCTTAGTAAGATTAACCTAGGTAAGTAAAAGTATGAGACTACTCTCTATAAGTGAGCTACGAATCTTGGGTAGATGTGCAGTCTACACTTAATGAAGTTGCTCTAACACTTTCTTAAACTTTGAGTTTCATTTAAGAAAAAAAATTAAATATGATGAAATCACCAACACAATAACAAATCAAGCTTAATGAAGCCGCTTTTGATAGAATTTACCTCTTACTATAAAACTTCAAATCATAATTCCTCTTATGTTAGGATTTCAAGAAGTCACCAACTTTACCATTAATTACTTGCTACTCATTAATTATCAAATATCAAATATTTACCACTTATTGATTATTTGCTACTCGTTGATTATCAAAGAACTACTGCTTGTCAATTTTCATTTAAATGATAAATTCACAATCTTAGTATTCTATAGTATTCCCTAAAATCAAGCAAATAAGCAATACATTGAATCATAAAAATATATAAGGACTAGAAGTCGATTCCTAAAACTCGGACTCGCCATTTTGTGATAAGATCCACATAATAAGAGAGAAGTCTACTCTAGAGGCGAGACTTCATGATGATTACCTATATGAAGATAGAAACTCTGGCTTAAAATGTGACCCATCCTTACATACACTAAGGATATAAGTGGAGTTAAACTTGGGACAACTATATTCTATTATACTTGAGATATTCCATTATGTATATAGAAGCAAAGAAGATTTTAATAAGTTATCATCACAAGATAAAGAAATTCAACATTCACAACAAGTACTCTTGAGAATTCAAATTTTATTTCTTCAAAATTATAAATGTGATTAGCATTTCAGACAAGTTTTCTTATAAAAATAAAAGGAAAAAAAGTGCATCATTACTGGACTTTTTTGGAACTCTATTATTCATTTTCATCTGCCGAAAATTCTTATACTCTCTAAGAAGTTGAGGTTGCTTTATGTTGGACTTGGAATAATTTACTTTACCAATTTGCCTAAACAATAATAAATTCCTTCTTCGTATTTTTCAGCCACCAAGTATATTTACTACCGAGACTTAGTAAATTTGTTTATCAATTCAGCTTCACTTGAGGACTAATCTAACTTTGCCTTCAACATTCTTGACTTGGCATTTATCCAACAAAGACTCCAACTCTACTACTCAAGCATCACTGTCCAACAGATATGCTAGGTTCTTTCTAGTCGACTAGGATGCCATTATGATGAACTCTGGATTATTCAAGTTATTCTGAAGGTTCAAAATTCTATCATCTTTTATTTTTGCTGACTTGGAAGGTGGCTGGAATGCGAAGTTTGAACTCATCTGTCTTTTGCACAAGTTCAAATTGTCTCCGTGACTTCTCCATTTGATTAGTTACCATAGCTGAATTAGCTTCCTTCTTAGACAACTCACTCTTCAAAACCATCATGGCTTCTTTGACTTCCATTCTCTTTTCTCTGCTTGGCATTAGCCTTGAATCGTAAAGAAATCCGTTCCTTATTAAAGGAGAGTTATACCTGTTTCTTCTCTTTATCCACTGTCTAAATCCTTTGCTTTATTTTCACACTTGACGTCCAATCTCTTATGCTTCTTGCCAGGTCAAAGCTAGCTTTCCAGCTGGAAATAAGCTTATTTTTCATGGTCATGTGCAGATTGCTAGTCAGCATGTCATTCAATCTTTTTCATGTGATGATTGATCATCGGCATGTATCATGGAACCAACTAGAGAAAATCATAGGACCAAGATCATAAGCTACTGCAACAGAGGGTTAACTTCAAAGTCAATGAAAATCTTATTAAAGTCCTGCTAACTAAAGGCAACTATCTTCTCTTTGTCGCAATAAAAAGGCCTAAACAACTTGCTTGCATGAGGACCATAGCCTTCTTTCCTTTGTCACTCGGGCTTATCTTTGAAGATGACACAACCCCTTTAGACTTTTCCTAAGCCACCTTTTTTTCACATCGCCTTCAAAAGTGCAATGGTCCTAGCTCTCTATAAAGTCATCATCCCAACCTTCAAAGCTACACTGACTTTAGCGAGGATAATTCCTTTCCCCTGAGAAGGCATCTATATCATCAAGCTTAGTCTGGTTTTCAACTAGTGGATAGTTGTCTGCCTGTCTCGCAGGCTACATGGCTTGCTACGTCAAGTCAAATTATGCTTTTTTTTTGTAATTTTATCATGTAGCCTATTATATACCATCAACTTTGATTCTCACCGATAAATATGTGATAACTAGTCAAGTGTGAGCATGACACTATATTGTACTTGTTGACCTCTGAATAATACCCAAAGGAACCAAAAACAACGACAAAAAATACCCCGTATTCCGTTGGATCCACGAATCCCACTGAATCGGCGCCGCTCCAGTCAATTCTCTGCACTTCCTACACGAAATCTGCTCTCGATCGCTGCCCCGTTCTCTTCGTTAAATACCCGACCAAATGAAGCCTTCTTGGCTGGCTCTCCGACTTCGCTCTCCACACACTACTCCTCTCTGTCCCGAACCCCTCTTCCCTCTGCTCTTCCCCATTCACTGCTCCCTCTCTCCCTTTCACAAACCCCACGCAAACTCCAGAGCCGAGACCACCTCCCAATCTCCACTGAAGCCGACGGCCCCATTCCGATTCTGTTGCTTCTTCGGCCCAGAGAGAGAGAGAGAGTGAGAGACTGATCCACATACCTGTAGCCGACTCCAGCAAACCGATCTCCTCTTGCCACTGCTCTGTCCGATCCCTTCTAGAGAGCCGACTGAACTCCTCCCTACCTTGCCCGATAAGGCCTCTATTCGACCTCTCTTCCCGATCCCTTGAGCCCGAAGCCGCCGCCTCCTCCTAAGCCTCACCCGAAACCTCCTGGTGCCTCCATCTCCTCTGCCCATTGCCCCTATAGCAGCCTCTAGCCCGATCTCCACAGCAGCAGGTAGTAGTGAGGGGTATATTAGGTTAAGTTTAATGTTAATGATATTTTATTATTATTATTTATTTTAAATTATAATTAATTAGTTTAAACTATGAATTAATATTAATTAAATTTAGTTATCATTAATTATATAAATTATAACTAAGATTTGATTAAACATAATTAACCTAAGTTAATTATGTTCAATTAGCCTTAATTATGGTTATTAATTAATTAATCGTGAATTAATTTTAATTAATTTAAATAGTTATAATTAATTATCTTTAAATAATAATTAATTATTATTCATCATTAATTAATCATAATTAATTTGATTTAATTATGTTTAATTATATTAATAATTAATTATTAATTAAACATATATTAATTATAATTAATTAAACCTAATTTATTCTAATTAATTATTATTACTACTAAATAATTATAATAATAATGAAAATAAAACAAAAAAAATAATTCCCTCCACCCTCTTTCCTCGACGTTCGTGTCGGACCGGCAAACCACCTAAGCACGCCTTTGGTGCGCGTGGTAGGAGGGAACCCGGTGCGACA